CAGCAAGAACAACAGCGAGGAACTGGAGTATGCAGACTAGCACTCTGCTCTTGCAGGTCAACCTAGGTCGACATGACGGCACGCCGATACGCATGGGTGCGCTACCACGGTAACCAGAAACCTCCGATTTCTGATCATTGTTGCCTTACAGATCGCTCTTCTGGACTTCGAGGGTCGAAGACCCTCCCGTTGTTGCTTTCCTATCGCTATGACTCGCTTGTGCTCGCGCCCTCGCGCAACCCCTTCTTGCTCGCCCTCACCACTCTGACTGTCGCTCCTTTGCCTCGGGCTCGCCGCACTCGCGCTGGACTCAGACCCGGACTCGCTTTCGGACTTGCTGTACCTGCTGTCGACTCACTCAATCGCTCTCGGTTTCCTTGCTGCTTCCGGTCTCTCGTTACATTACGTCGCGTGTACTAATACTTAGCTACCGTGTACAGATTCCCTTTAATGCAGATTCCGTTTGATTGTATCTGCTTGTTGCTGCTGCCCAGCTGCGATGCTCGCCTGTGACCGTGCTAAGCCACTAGGCCTGAGATTCCCCCGTGCTCACGTGTCCTCCCAGGCCTGGTCCCTTCGACTCCGACGCGCATGAGTGATAGGCCCCCACCTGGCATCCTGGCACCTATTGTTGTTTCATCGGGGGGAGTCTGAAATGTATGGTCAGGTCCCCGGTTCAGTCGTATAGAGTACGACATTCGGTTGTAGACCAGACCCCCGGCTTCTGTAGAACTCTGTAGAGCCGGGCATGTGGTTCTGTAGGGTTCTACAGGAGCCCGGAGACCGGTCTACCGTGCCCGACCACTCACCTCCGTTTAATCCCTGTAGTTCGATAGAGGGCTACTCAGTTCTAGGGTGTTCATCATCAGTCGACGAACATCTACCATGTCTGTAGACGTCTACACCAACTACAGTGTATTGGGGCGGGGATTGTCGGTTTCCCGACGTTCGATCGCGAATGTTGACGTCACCTCCTCTCGTGCCATAAGGCCATCGACCAACTTTGGTATGAAGTGTGCGGCATAAGCGATAGTGCTGGACGAACGGTGTCAACCTGAAGACGTATCTGGCGAGAGTGAATGAGCAAGCGCATGGACCGGCGTAAGGGTGACTCAGACATACCAAATTTGAATCCTGTTTTCAGTGGCGTCGAATTTGCGCAATCATAGGACGGGCAGCAAGAATGTGGGTGCTATGCATGCGGATTGCCAGTGTCGGAGTTCCATGAGTCGGCGGCCAGAGGAGTTCAAAATGGTAGAGACAGGCCTACTGGGAGTTAGATCAGTACAGATGCCGAGTACCAAACCTGGAGAGGCACTTATTGCGACAGGGTCAATAACTCGTGCACCGAGAACCTGTACTGTTGTTGCTCCTGAACAGTGAATGTACAGCATGCCACCGTTCTACCACCGTTCTATCCCCGGGCCGCGAATGCAAAACAGTAGTAGTACTCGGCGGCCTCACCGGTTACGGCGCTCCATCATCATGCAGAGTTGTCGTTCATCGGTGATCTGTTCAACGAAGTCACTTGTTCTCGAATGATGTCCATGAAAAGCCCAACTTGGCGTCATATGGTCAGTGTCGTGCATCCAGCGGTATTAGTCCCACCATCACAGGTAGAACCCCGCTGATGGATCGCGACGACCGGCTCGTCCTCTGGGTCGACTACAGTGGTATTATGTTCTTCAGCAGGACAAGTCGACGCTCCTGCAAATGATTAGGCAGTACGAAGCCTGTATATGGTAAGAAATAAATCGTCGTCCTAGCGAGACTGCCTAGAAATATACACAGAGATGGTCAGTCCCAGAAATGATGCCGCACAGACACGGGAGGCCCTGAATATCAGTCGCCCACTCTGCCGCGCTCTGACCTGTACCTGATGAACTTTGCCGCGAAGAACGCGTCCCACTCTACTGTGATCTCATCGCGCCCGCTCACGATCACCACGGCGGGGATCAGAGTAGGTTCACTACTCGACCACGAGAAAGTCAGCTTGACGTGCAACAGAAAGCATAGAGGTCACACACTCACAGAAAACCATGATGGGCTATTTGCCCGTAGCCTCGAAAGGCTCGCAGCGTCCGCCCAGACGGGTCCTCCCGCGGCATAGAATCCTTCAAATCTGCACCCCATGTGCAGGCGCCGCGCGGGATGTTCACGTCGCCCGTGATCTTCCACGCCCGCAGTGCCTGCTCCGCGGCGTCGTGCTCTAGGAAGAGACACTCCGTGCCGTGGGGTCCATAGTCACCTAACCACATGCCCACCAGGGTCTCTGGTCGCCAGTCACCCGAGGCCGGGTCCACCCCATCCTGCGCGACCGTGCGGAGGGCGTAGTACCGCGGAACAAAGTCGACGTAGTTGGCGCTGAGGCTGTGTTCGGGGTTATGTAGTTCGGGAAGGTAGGCGTCGGTGGGTTGGTCGGGGGGTGGAGGGAAGATCGAGATGGACGCCGGTTTCGGCGTGCCTTCGACGTAGCGCAAGTCGCCTCCGCGCATCCACCAGTGTCGAGGCCTGGGTTTGATCGGAGGCGGGCCCTCTTGCGGCATCGGCGGGAGGCCCCGCTCGGTGTCGAACCACGCCGCGGACAGGCTGTCGGGAAACTCGCCCGAGGAGTAGTGCGATACTTTCAGTGTCATGGACGTAGGGGCGATGACATGGAGCGATGGTGTGGCCCCGTCCGTAACCATATGGATGTACGGAGGTGGAACACCGGTGTGCACGAGGAAGCCGAGGTCGCGGTCAGAACGCACATGCCAGCTGATCTGCACCTCGTCCGCGGTCTCGCGGGTGGACTTTTGCCACGGGGTGAAACCGATCTGCATGAACTCGACATAGACGGGGTATTGTGGGGTTCTGTTGTTGAGAGGGCCTCGTCCGGTAAACTGCCAGACGTCCCCTGCGATGATGGGCTCCCCTGCGCGTTCGAACTTGTCTGGAACCAAACGGAACTCCATGATGTTACCCGCAAAGGGGTAGTCGCTGCACCATCGTCCCAGAAGGGCGCCGAATCTGTACAGGAGACGTCCGTAGATCACGCGGTAAGAGCGATTCTTAAAGGCGCTGTTGTCGACGATGCCGTAACGAATGCAGAAGGGGCGCCATGTGGTTATGTCGTCGGCCAACGGGTAGTAAAGCGTCCTCGAAGAAGCTATGAAGTGAAGGATGTCGGCAGGCGGGAGTTCCCGGAAGATCACTTGTAGAACATCGTATGGGAGATCGAGCATGGAAGGCATAGTGGTGGAGTAGCTGTGAGGCAATCATCAGTTCTATTCGACAAACTACCCATGTTCTCGTATGATAACCACCTTCAAGTAGCGAGTCAACGACTCGAGATGCCCCACCTGGACTACCTGAGCGGCAATAGAGGAACTAACTGTGCTGATAGTAGTACGAAGCTGAGAGTGCGTTCGCACTCGCAAGACGTCATGCCCCTGGAGCGAGCATTGCTTCTGCTCATATAAGCCCCTGCAGCAAACTTCCCATGCCTTCGATAGCTCAGTTGGAAGAGCGTGGGACTGTAATGGGTTAATTATTACGTAATCCCGAGGCCGCTGGTTCGATCCCGGCTCGAAGGATTGCCTTTTTAGGCAATTATAGCATCCCGGTCTGCCCGTCAAACGAGCTCATTGTGGGTTCGTACCAGCAGTCCGCGTCCTGTGACCACAGGTATGATCCCGGTTAGCGATTGGTGTTGGTGTGTACGGGAGGGTGGGGCGGGGTGGGCGATCCCGGCTCGAAGGACTAACTGTTCGATTTTGCCCTACCTTTTCGTGTTTACCCCATCCCAGCTGTGTGCGGGGATCTCGCCGTTGGGCAGTCTACCCCGAGCCGGAGTTCTCAGCGGGGTCAACAATCTCTACGCAGGATCGAACACGATTTACTCGAGGACCTCCCATATCATGTCATCGCGAGCGGAGGTCGCTGTCAGAGCCTCAAGACATCAACATAGCAGTCTTACAGTATGTACAGCACGTCGTCCAAAGATATGAGCAGGGTAGGGTCCTGAGCAGTCAAAGCGTACCGCGCCTCCAGCCCCTCCTGCGACCACTGGTCGGGGGAGGCACCTCGACACGAGCCTGGCAGTAAGGACATCGGCCCGACCTCTGCGTGAGCCACTGGTCGACACAGTCCTTCTACCGACCCAACACCATCGGTCAGCGCAAACTGAACACGAACCAACGGCCCAGCACTCACATGGTACACGTGTCCGCAGCTGAGCAGCCGCAACGGCTCCGGCGCATCGCCGTTGTCCGAGTCCGCGAGCTGCAGCGCGCCCGCATCTACCGGCCTCGGAGACTCCACTCTGACCTCGGTGATCTGGGCCCCGCCCGAGCCCTGCTCAAGGCGCGGGACTGCAGCGAGTTCGTGCGCCTCGTCGCCGTCCGGGTTCTCGGTCGGGTGATCGTCCCGGTCCTTGTCCCTGTCCCGCCCGTTGAGCCGCCGCGGTGCCTCGAACTCGGCCAGGCAGATGCCGCACGTCGCCCGGTTCTCTGGGAGGCGGACGAAGGGGTACGGCGCGGGGCCGAACATCTGGTCCCATTCGTCGGCGTCGGGCGCGGGGCTCACGGGGAGGTCGTCTGCACCGCGCTCGAGGTCCGTGTTGTCGGTCTTGCGGCGCTTGAGCGCCGGTCGGAAGAAGACGAAGCGCCTTCTCTTGGTGGGCGTAGCAGGGGCTGGATGTGACGAGAGCGCAGGATTGGACAACGCCAGCGGAAGGGGAGTGATGGGACTCGTGGGGCTCGTTGGCGCGTCGCCTGGCGGGGGCGGGATATAGACCACGAGCGGAATGCGGTCGACTTGCGCACGAGAGAGCTTGTCGATGGTAGGTCGCCCGACCTGTCGTCTCGCCCGCATCATGAGGATCATCTGTCGACCGTCGTTAGGTCGTGCAGTGACGCCCGGTATGTCATGTGGCACGCACCGGTATGATCGTCGTCAGCACGAAATGTGCATAGACGACGATGAGGATGGTGTACGTCGCGGCGGATATGGTCTGAGCAGCTACCCGGCAGCGCGAGCCGTGTGCGTAGATGACCAGAATCGCGCTGAAGAACCAGACGATCGCGAGGAAAGGATCGAGTTTGAGGAGACTACTCAGAATAGTCAGCGTCCGTACTCAGGAACCGGGGCAAAAGAACAAGGGCACACGCACAGGACATGGCACGCTTGCAGCGAGAGAGGACACACAGCGTCCGATGAGAAGGCATCCGTTGAGCAGATTCGTCTGGAGGGCCGTGTCCACTGGCAAGAGCAGCGGGGAGTTCTCGAGACCGCGTGCGCCGTCTAGCTTCCCTGCGCAATCTACGACTACCTCCTCGTATGTCAGTAGACAGATTGGGATCGTGCAACGACTCACGCTCGCTTGCTCTTGAGGTAGAGCCATGACTCCAGGTACAGCTTCAGGACGAGCCTCCCAAGCCAGATGAGGTTCCATGCGGCGAGGATGGTGCACGCGCTGAGCTCAGTCTGACCCGGACGCTCCGGGAGAGGGCTCTTGCGCACACCCGCAACGGCGGTGAGCACAATGATCACAAGAATCTATGGATGTGTGTTCATGCACGACATCTTGAAGGAGGGGAGAGAACGAGAACCGAAGTGTACGCACCTGGGACAAGGAGAGCACCACGACCGTGAGGTATCGCACGAGGACCCGACGCTCCCACTGCGCACTCCTGCTCTGTCCAGCATACCCCAGGAGCTCGAGCACCTTCCTCCATGCCCTCCCCCGCGCAGTCGTGGGTTGTGGTCGTGGTTGTGGTTGAGCTACGTTCCCCGCATGCGTCGGTGGCGTGCGGGGCTCCGGGGACGCCGGACTGGGCGGCGTCGCTTCAGCCGTTCTCGGCAGATTCGATCGTACGCGTGCGGCGGGCAGAGCAGCGAGCGCAATCCCGTCCGGACTGGCGGCGTTGTCAGACATGGCGGGCCAGCGACGGTGCTACATGGGGGTGTGGGACGCAGGCGGTATTGGTATATAGCGCAGTCCAGGGCGTCCAGAAGCACGCCCATTTGGGCCTCCCAGCTTCGAGATGCAGACATTGCGCCGCCTCGACGCGTATATCCCAGCGTCTGGCCTGCATGCTGTACCTCATACAGAGCTTCTCCAAGGACAATGTGCTACTCGGGTTTACCCTCTGCAAGCAATATTATAGAGAGAACGGCAGTGCAACGGCGTTCATCGTGGTTTTCATGATAGGTGGGCGATACGCGCGGAGCCCGCAGGGCCATCGTTTAACAGACTCCGATGGTCCGGACAATACAGGCCGCATTCTCGACGCTGATGCGAGGGAGCAGAAGGATTAATCTTGTCGACTGTCGCAAGTGTGTTGGAAGGCACTGATCTTGACTATGTCTTTGATAGAAGGTGACACTGGCAGTCCAAGATGGCCGCACATCGCCAGCGTGAACAGGCGTAAACTCGACCTTGCGTGGATAATTGAGAGGTGATATGGAAGCGAGTCCGATTACGGTCGAGGTAGTAGTATGTTATGTAGTCGGGACTAATCTTCGGAGAGGAAGCCAGAGGCCTTCCTCCGGAACTTCGCCTGGTCCCTCAGCCACTGCAACGGCTAATTAGAACAACGTAGACGCAGAGGATACGGATGAACATACCTGTCTATAGTCGTGCAGCGAACCAATTTTCTCTCCTGCATGCCGAGAACGAAGTCAAGAAAAGACGAGACACAAGGATGCTTGCACTCACCGTAGTAATCCGGGACGGGGTTCGTAGCACTCTGCCTCGTGGGGTCAACGCGGTTCTTGACTATGTGCTGGTGGAACTCCTTGTCGCGCTTCTCAATGAGCCTCATCGCCCGCCTGTGGGTCATCCTCCAGATACTGGATCCAATGACCGGACCAATGAGGTATCCAAAGCCTGACACAGGAACACGGGTGAGGTTAAGAAGGTTTCGTGGCAGAAGAGCGAGCACAGGAACGTACCTGCACATCCTAGGGTAGCAGCGCCATACACAAACATGGGGTCAATATTCTGGTAAGGTGTCAGTCAGAGTTCCACTGCCCGAGCTGAGCAGGACTCACAAAGATGGGCTTGTTGGGGTCCATCTCCATGGTCCCAAAGTACGATATGCCACCCATAAAGCCCCCGATAGTCGTCGGAATGGTAAGAGCCTTGGAATCCACGAATATAAGTTCGGTGTGCCCTCCGAGGCCGTGCCATTCATGTGGAGAACTCACCGTCTCCCATCTCCTCTTACGCTTGCGGATCTCCAGATACTCCTGCCATGGAAGTGTCTCCTCCGCCTGGGTTTGCGCCTGCGAGGCTGACGGGTTCGCGGGGGCATTCGCCGCCTTAGTCGTCTTGCCACGGGTCTGCATACGCGGCCGACATGTCGAGGAGAATGCTTTTGGTCGTGCAGAGTGTTGTACACTCCTTGAGAGCGGTCGCAGCTGCAAGGTGGACATGATGGGGAAGTGCACGAAGTGTGGTCGACGGAGGACGCGAATGACATCGTGTCCTCTCGGGCGGCTTAGGCGCCGTTACCGCATTTGGCACCGCAGGCGCTCGTGCGCTCTCCCGAAGATTTAACCGCCGTCCACCTCCTGGGGGGACCACGGAGTACAAATGCACCTGCAGACTGCACAAATAAACTGATACTTACTATTAGTACTAAAGTGTCGCAGTTGCTCGACGGGCCGATACTCCCCTCTGTGAAACTCAACCTCCTCATCCGATGTCCTAGGCGTTATACTACCCGCACAACGTACTTCCTACTCCGACCTGTATCACAGAGCTACTATCAGTGAGAACGACAGCAGTCTGAGTCTGAGAGTTGGTGCATCAACTGTACATGCATCGTCACACGTCCAGAGTCCAGACCTTCTGCGGTGACGTCAAGAAGTTCATCTGCATATATATACGTACATCCTTCGCCCATCGATTGTCCCGTCATCCCCCCCCCTTCCTCTGCTACCACATCGTCTGAGCCTGCAGGCCTTGCTGCCTAGCTCGTTTGGATACCTCACTTGCATGGATTCTCACAAGATCATCCTCAGAGCTCTTCTGGCCCCGAGCTTCATGTCGGAAGTCCGACTCGGAACCCGCCGTCCGACTGTCCGATGGAGCAGACGCGCAGAGGAACACTCGCAGATGCGGAGGCGCCTACATAGCTCACTCCGGAGAAGGCTGAAGCCACAGATGTGATTCACTGGCCATCAGTCGCGACTCGCCATCAAGCTGCTGATGCTAGTTATGGGCTAAACAATACACGCCGAACCCCGGATTGCGGGGAAAGCAACGTCGGGGCGATACGAGAGTGGATGGAGCCTTGAAACGAGGTGCGAGTCAGATACAAATTCTCAGGCCTATCGGGCGACTAGTACTTATATCTACCCGTCGGACTACCGTCGGATAGCTACCAGCTGCCACCTCTTACAGCGACCACCACCCCCTCCTTCAAGCTCCTTGTAGTGAGTTGCTTCCCCGGGCCACAGACATGCTGATCTGACATCAAACAGGACGGATTCCTCCATAGACATACACGCTATGCCGTCGACGACCCATATACCCCCGGAGCTTTGCGATCACACTATAGACTACCTCTGGGACGACCTGGAGTCC